GGGGGGGGGGGGGGGGGGGGGGGGGGAGAGCGTTTGGTTTCATGATGCATGTGTTTGATGAGGGTGGGGTAAATGATGTTGAAATGAAACAACCTAGCAGTTCCATTTCCATTTTGTAGAAATCAGTCTGGCACCCTTAGTTCATCATTTTAATTCCCAACTTGATATTTTTTTTTTTTGGTTTTTTGTTTCTTTTTTAATGTTCTTTGATATTGTGGCAAGTGACGTTCGAGCAATGTGAAAGGCTTTATCATCATTGTAAGCAGACAGTTATTATCTTAAGGTTTTAAGTTTTATTGTTTTCTCACTTTGATCAGTTCATGTAGTTTTGAGTTTTTATGTTCATGTGGAGTTTATGTTGTAGCAATATGTTAAAAAAACACGTGATTACGATGATTTTTCATTGTATACAAAACGCTTAATTTTATTACTTCGGTCAAGTGGGATTTTGTCCAAATGTTGCCATGCTTATACAGGGCTTATTGATTTTACAAATTGAGTTTTACATTGTGGAATCAACCAAGTAGACATTAGAGCTATTAAACATTAAGGCGGGACTACATGAGTGTTTTTAACTACAGGGCACCTTAACAGCCAATATTCATCTAAGCGTGCCTATAGTTGTTTTTGCAAATAAGATTGAATCGAGTTTAAGCTCAAAACACAAATTGAAGCTCTATTGGTTTGGTCAAATAAATCTGAATTGAGATGAGTTTAAGTATGGAAAATAAAATAACAAACTATATGCAAATAACGTGTTTGAAACCCATCATAACCCTAAAATAATCTTGAACATTTTTTTTGCAGGTATACTAATTCTGAACAATTTGATGCTCAGCTCACTATGACTCATTTATCCTATTAACGATTTATGTAATATCACTCATGTCTAACATATTTGGCCACATTTTTCATAAAAAGACTGTGACCATATTATAATTGCTATTTAAACTCTTGGGTGAACTAAAATCAACTCGGATTGAAGTTCTTTTTAATGCAATTGTACCAAATTAGTAACTTAATTTAGTAACCTAATTTACTAGATTGAAAATTGATCTTTTTTAAAATTGGAAATTGCTAATAATCTCATTGACTTAGATTAATAAATTAAATTGACGAATTAGGTCCAAACCATCCAAATTACATTAATCTTTCTTCAAACAAACAAACTAAAACTATTGTTAGCCAATTTATTTTTCAACAAGTACATCAAAAAATGTCAGTGTTGGAGAAGTAAATGCTAGTTTACAGTTTACTGTTTACATAGGAGAGAGAGAGAGAAGCAGGAGGTTCAAAGAAAAAAATACCCTATTCAAAACCCATAGAGTGAGCTCCATATTAAACCCAACCCTACATACCATAATCTCCTTCTCTCTCTCTCTCTCTCTGTTTCTTCACAGACGCGATTGCGATCTCTGTCTAGGTGTCTGATTACTCAATGGGTTTGACGAGATCTCTCTAGAAATTCAACATCCAATATCCATACACACAAACTCTTTCTCTCTCGCTCTCTCTCTCTCTCTCTCTCTCTCTCTCTCTCTCTCTCTCTGCAGAGGAATGGAGGAAGAGTTAAAGAAACGAAACACAGATTGCGTGTACTTCTTGGCCTCTCCTCTCACCTGCAAGAAGGTTCATAACATTCCAAGTTTCAATTTTGTTTGTGCTTTCTTTGTTATTGTTTCCAATGCTGCGAAGATATAGACTGTAGGGTTCTGTTACTTATATCTTAAATTTGTTACTATTATCTTTGACGGAGACGCTGATTCTTATACTGTATTTGGGAGAGAGGAATTCAAGCTTTGAAATTGGGATCGAGGAATAATTAGCTCAATTTGTTGTTATTTTTTTAATGCCGCGAAGATTTAGGATGTAGCTTTCTCTTCCTAATAAGGTTTGTCTCGTCTAGATATTATGATTAGGCCCTTTTATATTATTCATTTATATTTTTTTGTTTTTATGCGAAGGGGCTGATTCTTATACTGTATTTGGGAGCGTGGAATTGGGACCGCAGAATAATTAGCTCAAAATTTTGATTTCGTTTAAATTTCCCCCATATTCCATCACCAAAGCTCAAATTTTGGCTTTCAAGCGCAGCATTGGAGTTTGTTTGGAAAAGATGATATTTTGTTGTAGTATTGATGAGTAACAATTTATTATTCAAGTTTTATGTACTTATAACAGGAAGACAATGACGTTGAATTAGCTATATCAAGTACATTAAATAATGCCCTGACATGTGCTTGTTTGTGGATATATTTAGAAGTAATGTATTTGTTTGTTAGTATGCACTTCTTCTTTCATTTGTTTTTTTTTTCTTCATATTAACTTTGTACAGCTTTGTTCCCAAATTGTTGTTTGTGTTTCTCTTTTAAGTTTCTCTTTTAAGGGGAAATAATTGACCATTTTGGCTTTGTGCGGGAAATATTTATGGTGCTGTTGGTTTTGTTTTGCAGGGGGCTGCATGTGAGTATCGCCATAGTGAGATTGCGAGGCTCAACCCAAGGGATTGCTGGTACTGGTTGTCTGGGAGCTGTCTTAATCCAACCTGTGCTTTTCGGCACCCTGTAAGTTGTTATGGGACTTTGGGATTGCTTTTTTCGGCAATAGTGTTTCTGTATAGCCTAGTAGATTACGTCTATCTTTTTTAATCTAAATACTTAAATACATTGTAGTTTATATACTATTGTTGGGGGAAAAAACCACATTATTTTCAGTTCATATGGTCCCGAGCAGATCTCAAAATCATCTTATTTGATTTGCATGGGATTATATCACTGGGGATCTATTCCAATAAACTGTATCATAATTCTATGAAAATATAGGCATAACCATTCATTTTTTGATTTGTCTTCCCTCCATTCCAATATAATCTCAAACTTTTTAAGGGAACATTTATTTAATGCCTTCACATTCTGATTTTGGTTGAATGTTCACTCTTACCCTATTAATTTTTAAATTTACTTTTATATGTAGCCTTCAACCACCATTAAAAAAAAAAGGTAGAATGGGAAATTTAAGAAAATTTACAGGTTTTTTTTTTTGCTAAATAAAATTGAGATTACGGGAATAAAAGAGTACAACGAAATATTATCAAGCTTTATGGCTTGACATGCGTCCGAAGGCCATACGGGGTAACTCTCAACCTAGTCTAAGAAAATAAAAAACATCTCACAAAGACTAAGTAGACAATTTACAAAGGAATGGAAGAACTTTGAACTCACTATTCAAGGGGATACACAAATGAATATACCAAAGTGCTTGCTTCACCTGCTTTTACTTTCATCATTTGCATCGTCTAATGAAAATCCTTCCAGAAGACTTTCACCCCATTGATGATTTGCAAGATTTTGTTCAGTATCCTTGTAACATCTTGGTTATTGCAAGCTTTGCTTAGGCCAATCCATGCAATATTCATTAATCAATTTCTTTAATTCGTATGAGACAAAGCTGTCCACATTCTCTTTATCCAATTCATCTCCATTGCCTTCCATTTGGTTGTCATTTGATTCTATTTGGCTTTGGAAGATATTTTAACTGATGTTTGGTGGCTGCTCTAAGTTACTGGAAGGTGAATGTGAAGTTAAATGGTTTATACTTTCTGTCCCAACTTGATAAATGCCCCTTTTTAGTAATGGGCTCAGCATGTTTAGGTAGATTCATGCAAGAATCAGGATCTTCTTGTTGTAACATTGCATACTGATTTTCAAAGTGAACTTTTGTATTAAGGGACGGGGACTTATCTCTAAGCCTAGCTTTTCCTAGCTCATGTACCGGGTTGCATATTTGTTGCTTATTTATAACCTCTAGAGTTGCACTACTGTCATCATTCTTGAGATTTGACTAACTTTCCTTTATAAGACCCCTGTGTCATCATTCGTGAGATTTAACTGACTTTCCTTTATAAGACCCACTAATGGTGTAGTATCATACGAATTCGTCCTCCAAACTTCTTTGTTCTTAGGATTAAAGTTACCCTTTGGCTTCTTGGAATTGGACTTTATCTCTAGCTTTTCCTCATCTTGCATGATCTTCCTTCTTGGTTTTCTTGTGTTGCACTAGAAGCCACAGACAAAAGTTTCCTTCCTCATTGTTCACAGGTCTTTGAATATCATCCTGTTGCCTTTGTGTCTCTTGTTGAGTGCTTGTGACAGTATCTATTGTTGTATTGTAAGGTTCATTGTCATGACCAGGATGGCCACATGTGAAGCATATCTTCTTAAGACCTTCATGCACAATCCATTGTTTGTGTTTACCAATGAAAACATGTGAAACTAGAGATCTTAAGGTACAATTTGAACACAATTTTGCATATCTCGCTCGTGAGATGTCCTTAGTTTTGGCATCAATCTTTATCAATCTCCAATCTTAAGCCCTATTTTCTCAAGAATAAGAGTCATAAAACTCAATTGGTAATCCGGGCAAATTTATCCATAGTACTATAGTGTTGGCCGTTGCTATTGATTGTTGAAACTCCGGTTCCCATTGTCTGACACTGATAAATCGTAGCCCAAGGAACCATGGTCCTTCACTTAGTATCCTTGTGACATTATTTTTTGATTGGACGCAAGCGACATAGTAATCTTCATCGAGAGCTATACATTCCATTTTATCCTTAGTTTGCCATAACGCAACCTATTTTTCATTTAGGTATGGTAATTGTATGTTTGGCCATACGTTTTGAGATAATAGCAATTGCCCAAGGACTCCTAACTCTCACTTTGTCATGTTTGGACAGATATATTCTGGGACTATTGGACTCCTCTTCCAGTTCTTCTTCCAAAACTGATTCATTCTGCCATGTGGTGGCACAAGTTTCTTTTGTAACTTTTAGGGCCAAGGCATCTTATAAGAAATGTGTGGGTTGTATGTTAAGGTGGGTGAATTTGTATGATTGGTGAAAGCAGTTGATGGGTTATTTGGTTGGTTATGGAGGTTTTGGTGGAGTGTTAAGGCATCGATGTAGGAAGAAGATGAGAGTTTGTTGAGGTTTTGGTGCAGTGAAGTGATGGTAGGTTGTAAAGGTTTTGGTAGAGGGTTAAGTTTTGGGTGTGAGAGTGGTCTAATGGTTTGTTCTGGTGGCTTGTTTGGTTTACCAGTGGCCATCACTAAGAAGTTTCTGATTATTGGCTCATGAAACTTTCGTCAAACATTTGGTGTGCACAAATAAAGTAGCAACAGGATTAAATTGAAGGGATCAAAATAGTGGCATTTATGTCTATGGGTGGAATCAAAGTTGAGAGGAGGTGATAATGTTGTTGGTTGTGGCGAAGAATTGGCAGCAATAGTGGTAGGTAGGGTCTAATATGCAGGAGTAGTTTGTTATGAGTTGGATATACACAATGGTGGGAAGACAAAAGTGGGTTGTAGAAAGATGTGAAAGTAAGGGGAATTTTATTCTAGCAGAAGAGTGTAGGTGGAATCACCGGAGGGGATGAGCATTATTGCTCAGGGTTACAATCACCTCTGGGGAGGGGGAGAGCTCTACAGGTGAGAGCGACTTTGATCTTTTTAAGAAAGTTAACAGTTTTTCAAATAGTACATTTGTTTTGGGGCACTCTAAAATGAGATAAGAAACTCTTTTGTTGGAACATATGGAGTAACTGTAAACACACAACGCAAAGGATTCAGACAATCTGTTTTTTGCAAAGCCAGATCTCAGGCAAGATTACTTTGATTTGGCTATAGTTGATCGATCTGTCCTGAAGTATTCCACTCTGCATCAATATGGATAATATGATTCATAATGTAGCTCTATTAGATAGTAGAGCAATATATATATATATATATTGTTTAGAATTCTAGAAATCATTTTTAAGTGTGTACTTAGCTAAGGCACCTAACCTTTGTTTATCCAAGAGTCTGTAAGCCTCTCGATATCTCTTTGTAAGTCCCTAAGGATAGGGCAGTTGTGAGATTTAGGTGAGAAAGTGAGGAATGAATGATAGGAGGTATGATCTTAGTGGTTTTACTACAGTTGTAGTTTTCACTTAAAAATAATTTTGAAAATTTAAAACAATCTGTAATTTAAAAATGAATAGGTTATTCAGATCTAATTCCACAGCTAGTTCATCTAGATCTTCATCTAGTACTATAAAAATTAAAAGTACGGACCATTGAACAAGTTCATGCATTAAAAAATAGTGAAGAACAAGTTCAACTCTTAAGCAAAGAAGAATTGAAAATCCACAGAAATGAAGGATTTAATTTTATTCATTTAGGATTAGTCCAGGTAGCTATAAAGCCCCTGACTACTGATGGCATGAATTCTGCAGTTCTATTATCCCTAAGAGATGCACGATTTATTACCTATAAAAACGGCATTTTAGGAATAATGGAAGCTGGACTTCATGAAGGACCAATATATTTTAATTGTTTCCCTGATTTTACATTAAGTCTACATTGCCAGCATACTCCTAAAGCCTTAACCTTAGGAATCAAACTCTCTGGACAAATCTTAGACTTAGTAAAAGAAACTGCTTCTTTAGCTTTAATCTATAGGGTCTATTACAAATGCATAACCACCAACATGAATGTACACGCATTAAAGAAAAGCCCTAAAGAAAGTACTCTGTTAATCCAACCTAGTACCAGTGAAGCTAATGTCCAAGTCCCCAAAAGACTTCAATGGAAGGACATTGAACTTCCAGAATCATGGCTCGTCACTAATGAGAACCATGATAAAGACAAAGAAACAACATCTACCAATCTAGAAACTGTCCAGCAGCTTTCTGATGGAATGGTTAGGATCTCCTTCGATTCAGCCAGATCCCATAGGTCCAGTAGATTTAATGAACCTATTAGGATTAATGAAGGAAGAAGATCAGATGTTGGTTCTACTATATCCCAAAGAGATAGAGAAATTGCAAAAGAACTGCAATTCAGGATTAACCAACTTGAAAAACAATATAAAATGAAAGGAGTAGATAATGAGTCATCTCCACACCTTAGCAGACCTCATTATACTCACAAACCTCCTTTAGTTAATACATATTCTAGGTTTAAGGAAGAAGAAGAAAGGGATAGGGAAGATGATTTTACTCCATCACCCACTGCTTCTGATCTAGAAAGTCTTAAGCCTAATCCAGATTTAAGTCATCAACTCTATGTCATAAATACAAAACCTAGTACTTTATTTCTACCAGACATAGCTAAATTAAAAAGTAGGATGGTTAAGAATAAACTTAGAAATAAAGAATTCTTTAAAAAATATAATGGACAACAAAGAAAAGAAATTCAAGTTCAATGGATTAAAACAATGCACAAAATTGAATCTGAAATTGAATTTTTTGATTACCTTGACTCTTGTCACAAAGATGTAAAAGTAATAACAAAACATAAATGGAAAACTACGGATTCAGGAATTGTCTCTTCTAGTCATCCTCCAACCCAAACTTTTACATTTAATTCTGCTGACAAACAAATCGTGGCTTCACCATTTAAGATCCCTCCTCCTGAAAATACTAAGGCATCAACAGAACAAGTGGCTTTAGACAAATTTCAGAAGAGAGTAATTGAACAAAACAATTTTACTAATCAAAGCTTAATTGTTTTAGGCCAACAATTA